CTGAATTACATATCACTAGATGAGTATGATCAATGTGCTGTACTGAGAGGAAGAGAATTATCCCCAGGATAAGAGCTTCTTAGGCATCCTTAATATCAGTGGTGTTAGCAAAGCTGAGGTTGAAGCAAGAAATGAGGCATTCTAATAAAATTAAAATAATGGTGCTTTGCTGATACCTTCCTTGAACACAGCAGATATTAACAATAAGCATATATGTAAAATACAAGATTTCTTAAATGTTTCTCTGTGCCAGTAGGGATCAGCACTGAAAGAACTTTCCTGATTTTGAAGCTGGTGCAGGATCCAAGAAGCTTAACTTCATATAACGTGACAGTTTTCTCTTTACTTCACAATGTTAACAGAGTCCCTGGATTGTTCTCACAGTTTAATCGTAGGTGAACTGCCTCTTACTATCAGTTATTTAGTTCCCCCATACTTGATACGTACTGGTTATATAGGATGCTGTTGAGTTATAAAGCACTATCAGCCTTAAATAGCACAGAGGACGTATCCTTTGGAAACCATCTTCTTTGTAAATGAATGACGAATTCAGACTGTGGGAATTTATACCATATTTACTTGGAAGCAAGGACATCCTCATTAAATCCTTCTCCCTCCTCATTTTTTGTAGTGCACAGACTAGTTTGTAATTAATGGCCCAAAATGATTTCCAGTCCAGAAAGCAGCTGCCAAAGTATAACTCTTTGTCCAGATGGTGTGGCACTCAAAATCTTTTCCTAGGTTGCTATTTTTCATCTCCTTTCTTTCACTTTCTTGGAAAGAGAATCAAATTCACATGTGATATGGAAGGGAGGCAGCTCTTCTGAATAATGCATTTTACTGTACTGTTGTCCTTTTCTCTTCTGCTATTTTTGCAAATTTCTTTCTTAGTTGAACTTAAAAGTTTCTTCTGTCCAGTTGCAGAAGAGATAGCCTCCTCTTCCACCCCTTTATTTAATAACTCTTCTTTCCCATAAATAGTGCCATAGCTTTTACTCTGTCCATTGTGTTCAGAGATGTCTTGGAAAAGTTACGTCTGCTTGCAGTCGTACGATGGCAGTGCTGTCACGCAAAACCGTTGGTGTAAGGAAAAGCATAGCTGTACCTTTTTACCTGAGGCCTTTTACCAGGAATGGCTTTGTTTGGAACTTTGGCTTCGTTTGGAACTTTTTTGTGTTAAAACCTCTTTTTACAGTAAAACTTTAAATTCTGCAGTCTTAACCTGAGTATAGTGAGGGGCTGTGAGGCTGCCAGACAGTGAATGACTTGAAATCTTAACTTACTTTAGGACTTCACTAATTGGACTACAAGCAAGCATTATGAGGGAAAACGTTGGGGGTCATCTGCTACTGTGCTTCCATATTTATTACGCTGCTGTGTCAGTTGTGTGCATGCTGTCCAGTGTATAAAACTCTTTTCTGTATGTGGTAAACAGAGCAGCTACATTCAGGGGAGGCGTTCAGTCTCCAGGAATCAGAAATGCAGAGAAAGATATGCAAAGATGTGAGAAGGGCATGGGACTGGGATAGATGCCTGCAGGATGTCTGCCAGCAAATTTTGGTTTTTGAGAACTTTCCCATTGAAGTGGTAAATATTTGTACAGAGAAATTTCAGTCATGTGCCACAGCTGGCGAGATAATGGAGTCCAGCCTGCTTTTAGAATCTCTCTGTAGAATTAATTGGATGGATCTGTTTCCAAGTCTCTTTCAGAACAAATTAACAGAAGTAATGTGGTATTGCCTGCCCAGCGTTCACAACTGCATCACTGGAAGGTGAATTTATGTTAAGCACCAGTGGTATACTGAAGTGTGTGTGTGTGTGCATGCGTGCTCATGCAGGTGCACATGCAAGAGTCAGCCACTGTAGCTGAATTCTTATATCCCACTGTCCGTATTCCTACTGTACATAAAAAGACTGGTCACCAACAGTGAGTCTTAGGAAAAGCTGTCAGGTGTCTTTCCTTTGGTTAAAGTAGGGTTTGAGATTTTGATGCCTTTTTCCTGTGTCAGAAGCAGTTCAGGTCTTTTACTGAAGAGATGCAAAGAACATGTCGTCCTCTGTTGCAGGAGTGCAGCCAGGAGCTTAATTGTTTACAAAAAAGAAATCATATTTGAAGAGAAATAATGGAGCAAGACCGGGAGGAGCTGGACCAAATGCTCCTTGGGCATAGGAAAATGAAAGGCAGTGGTACTGAACAGACATGTTAATGTGGCAGGTTGTAAATGATAAGTTCGTTTTAAGTTCGGTATGGTTGTCCTTTTATATTCATAAAAGGTGACAAAAAGATGTTTTGGGATCTTCAGTTGCTGCCACAGTACAATACAAATCTGTGCATACTGCAAAAAACCCCGTTCTGTGTACAGAAGTAGTTAATGTATAGATGATATTATAGACTGTTAGAAAATACAGCATCAAACTAGGAAGGGGTTAAAACAGAATTCTGGAGTACCAATAGAAGGGAATCTGTCATGAAGCTGAAGCGTTGACATGGCAGGTTTGTGACACTTTTTAGTCCTTTATGCTGTTGGCCATGAGTCAGGATTCAGACCAAGTCTTTCTTAGAAATTAAAGGGAAACCAAATGTTTGATTATGGAATAGAGAGAAGAATACAGCAGTGGAAAATGAAATAAAAAGATGGAGCAGAGTGCCACTGAAGTGCCAGTAAGACATAGCACAGGATAATGTGCAGAGTACTGTTGGGAATAGCACAGTCCATGTGAGTCAGTGTATTTTGTGTGCGTGTGTGTAAGTATACATGTAGAGAGCTTGTGGGAGAGAGCCACTCTCGACTAGTATGGAGCCTGGGAAATGCAGGCATGCAGAACAGAACCCAGTGTTCTGCAAATAACTTTGAGACACATTGTCAAAACATTTTCCACTGTTATCACCAGGGATTTAGTTGTTTGACGTAGCAGGGTTGGTAGTTGTAGTGCAGCCATTGTTTCAGCTGGCAGATTTTTTTACACCATATTGTTTGGAATTTATCCCGTGGAAGCTGAGTGAAAATCTTAGTGTGTGTATCAATATTGGTGCCTGTCCTAGGGCTCCTAATTTTGACAAGATGCTAGTCAGGTATTGGGGGGTTTTTGGCCTGTTATTGTGTTGAGAACCCTGTTATGGCAGTGCAAAGAGATGGGGGGAAAAGAAAGTTCTTTTTTCCTGAAGAAAGAGGTCCCCTTTCTGTAACTGCTCTGTTGTTTAGTAGGATGTATCTGTTCTGCCAGATCCTGTATGATAAACACCTTTTCCAATCTGATTGAAGAAAGGAACTCCATTAAAAAAATACAACTGTCAGTTTTTGAGAGTGAGCAAATATGTGTATTAAGCGGGTGGGGGGGGGAGAGGGAGAGACTCCCTCTACTCTGTAGCCACCATATCTTCATTGTATGATGCCGAGTGATTCGTAGAAAAGCTTTTAACAATAAATACTTTGTTTCTTTGTATCTCTTGCACTAACCTTGTGTGTCTTCACAAAGGCAGGTACAGTTGGCTTCTTTATGCTCCTGATAATGCTCTTGAGTTTTTGGATTTCTGTTCGCTTGTACACACGGACACACACAGGAGCATACATAATATGGGTTTTCATGGGGCTTGACAAAGGTCAGAACTGTTGCTCTTTTAGATCTTAAGTTAATTCTTTTCTTCACTGGATTCCATCTTCAGCCATTTCCATACTGAGTAAGTGAGAAATCCTGACCATTGGAGAGGTCTGGCTCCTCTCCAGGTCAGGTGCGTGGTCATTTGGAGTACATTTATCGTTAGCACTGTTACTAGTTATAATCAACAAAAAAGTCACAGCTGAGGCTAGACCTTGGATGCTGAGAGGTGGTGTAGGAATTGCACAGCTGCCACCAAACCATGGTAGGAATGATGCAGATTCCACCTCAACAGCACTCGTCCCTAGGTTCCGCTTTAATAAAAGAATCGAAGAGAGCTCCTTCTTCTACTGTGTTTAATATGCCACAGTAGTTACAGCTCGAGCTGGGTGCCTCTGAAGAGGGACCCTGCCTGGCAATTGTTACTGGATTTTATAGTCTCTATAGGTGGAGTTTGATTTCCTGATGGCACTTAAGCTCATCCAATCCCGTTCGCAGAGTCTGGACTCTTCTCTTCTGATTTGCTCCCACAGCCTCCAGGTACCCTTTTTGTCTGTGTCTTTGAGACGTTTCCTTATCTTTTCTTACAGGATATACTGTAGTTGCAGTTTTATTTATACTTCCTTATCTACTGGTTACATTTCCATACATAAAAACAAAGGTTAAAGTGCAATTCATGTGGCCTAAGGCTTCATTGACTTTAGTCACTAGTGCTTTGCTCTGGCACAAAATATTCTCACTACAGAGGAGCTGGGAGTAGGCTGTGCAAGCAGCTAGCAGCCGTCCAACAGAGGTACTATGCAGCTAATAATATTAGAAGCATCTGTCCCTTACTCTGTCATTTTCAAAATTCTCTTTTTAGGTCTACTTTTATGAAGCTGCCAACACCTGTTTTTAATTATTCTTTGTCTTTAGTGTATCCTGTTGCTTTTATTTTTTCTAGATTGCTGTCTCTATTTTTATTTTTTTTCCTTTATTTCCCTAATTGCTGTTACTTTTAGGTTTATTTTGGGTTGGTTCCTCCTGTTTTGCTTTATCTGGTTTCTTGGGGCTCTGGCCTGTCACTGCCCCTGAGGCCACCAGGCGAGTGGGAATGGAAGCACCGGGGATCATAAGCGCCACCTCCTATTGGTGGAGGGAGGCGCAGCATGAGCCAATGAGAATGTATTTTTCAGAAGCC